AAGGCCTTACTGATTATATTATCAACGTGAAGGTCGAAATGCAGACAAGAATCCAAAGTTACACCTAAGTCACGAACATAGTTGACCTTCGCTAATCCAACATTATTTATAGAGTAATCGTACTGAATTTAGTTTTTGTTTTTTGTAAATGAAATGGAGTGACATTTAGGGAGGCTGAGAAAAAGTTTGTTACTATTACAGTATACGTTAAGTCTGTCAAGGTCTTCCTGAAGTCGCAAACAGTCAGACTCAGATCTGCAAGACATGTAGATTTTAATGTCATCAGCATTCAGCATACATTAAAAAATGTGTGTTGACGAAACACTGTCCAATGTCATTAATAAAAATTATATATAGAAGGGGGCCTATAATCGATCCTTGAGGAACACCAGATTCAGCAGTCACGAGGTCCGATTCATAACCATTTACGACGACTTTCTGTGTCCTGTTATATATATATAGGAAGCAAACCAGCGGAGCAGATTGCCTCGAATTCCATTATATGCGATTTTCTCCAGAAGCAGTGCATGATCCACCTTGTCAAATGCCTTCCGAAAATCCGTATAGACGGCATCCACCAGGACTCGCCGATCCATATTCTCAAAAAGAAAATTAGTGAATGTCATAAGATTCGTAACAGTGGAGCGACGCTTAACAAAACCGAGTTGTTCAGGTATGATAAGTGGGTGAATATGAGAATATATAGCACCATGTACAAGCCGTTCAAAAACTTTAGACAAAGTGGAGAGAATGGAAATAGGGCGGTAGTTCTCCACATTGCTCTTGTCACCACTTTTATAAACAGGAGTAACAAAAGCACGCTTCCAAACAGCCGGGAAGACACCCTCCTGCTGACACTTATTAAATATTATATGCAAGGCAGTACATAGATTGTCACACGTTTTTATGAAAAGACACGGTGGTAGACCATCAGGTCCAGCCCCCTTAGAAGAGTCAAGAAACTTACGCGTCGTGCGGACAGCCTCCTTGGGCAAGTAAATTTCAGATAGGCTTGTAGAGTTTTCTGCATAATGATGAGATGGCTGCCATGTGTTCGGATCAAATGAAGAGGACTCATACACTGAACAAAAAAAAGATGAGAACAAATTGCATATTTCAGTGGCGTCGTCGGTATGAACGCTACCAAAGTACATACTGGCAGGAAAATCAGCTTTATTTTTTTTTGAGGAAACATAAGACCAAAAGTACTTAATGTTCTTAGGAATACTATCTTCCACCGAATTAATATAGCTTTTATAACACCTAACTGACTCAACCCGGAACAGTTTACGATAATTAGAAAATTTTACATAATCAGAGATGTTTCCATACCTTTTCTACTTGAACCAGGCGCGCTCCTTTACCCTAAACATTTTCATTAAAGAAGGTGAAAACCAGACGGGGAAGTTCGAATTTTTAGGGCGAGTTTTTGGAACGTGTGATCTAATGACTCCATACAGTATCTCATAAAATTCTTCGACAGCCCGCTCAGCGGGGTGATGAGAAAGAACAGCAGTCCAGTCAACCTCCTGAAGATCATCGTTAATATTATCATAGTTCGCCTTATAATAATTGTATCTGGCTGAGAGGCATCTCATAGGGGAAAATTGCGTGCCCAGACAGACCATTGCAGAGAAAGGCGGATGATGAACATCTGGCTCCAATAGGGGACAGCAAGGTACTGTCTGGCATTCTGCGTTGGAGATTAACAAATCTAGTATCCGGCCCAGCCTGTTCCTCGCAGTATTAAATTGCAACCCATTAGTGATACTCATGAAACTTTGCAAAATCAAACCGAGCGAGCTCGAGGTTTCAGCTATTGTGTGATTTTGCCTATTTAGCCAGTTGATTTCAGGGAGGTTAAAATGGTGATTTGTGTGTGAAAGCAAAGAATGATTCACATGCTGGGTCAATTGCCAAACACTGCAGTACCTCTAGGTAGCCGGCATATATGTCTTCACATGTGCGAGGCGGGATGTACACCGCACTAATGATATGTCGGGTCTTATGCCGGGACGCAGGCAATTGTATTATCACCTGTTCGATCCCGGCATGATTGAATTGAGTAGACAGCAATGTGGGCCGGAGCTCACGCAATACAGCCACCAAAACACCTCCCCCATCCCGTCATGATTCTATCACGATCGCATCTAAAGACGATGTAGCGACCGTCTATAAACTTACTATCGTTTATACCAGGAATTAGCCAGGTTTCAGTGAGTACGATAACGTCATAAGTGTATGACATTATGTTCATATAAAGTGTGTGTAACTTTGTGCGGATTCCTCTACAGTTCTGGTAGTACATAACTACATTATTAGACGACATTATTGACCACAATGAGACTACACAGTATCAGTAAATCAATACAACAAGACAGCAGCTGTATTAGTAAGTACGTAAAATTATAGTACATATGTAAGTGTGAAGGACTACAAAACAATATTATTAGTTGCAATTTAGAATTATATGAAAAATACAGATGTAGTAGCCACAAAATAATAATATTTATAAACGGTCGCATACAGCATAGCAAATGCAAGTTATAAAATATATGGCTACATAATATCACAGCAAGGTTAGTCATCATTTCAGTTGCACTCACGGTAAGTAAAGGATGTGATAATTTATGAGTCTTAGACATATACTGGAGATGGTCGAGACCATTAAGCACACTATTTGTCACCAGGAACAATTTTCTTGAGATCTTCTTCAGAACGTATCGCGTATGCGGAGGATCCATCCCGCTCACGAACAAGTATAGTAGCATCCTATGGAGAAGAACGAGCAAGAAACTCCGTAGGTTACTCTTTTTCAATCATATTCACAAACAATTCTCTAGTTACATAGTTTTATTGGTTAAACCACGTAATCCACATACATAAAACGAAAACAGTTGTTTCATTAAACCAATCGACATTATAGAATTATCCAATTGAAAGACTCATTGAAGTACGATGAACAGCGATTATAGACCGACCTAGATCCATTTTAATAGAGCAAAGTCGCAAGTAATAATTGCTGAATAAAGTGCTGTAGGAATATTAATTGGTTTTGCAGCTATCTTGTAAGATAATAGACTAGACAAGACTAGAGTTGAATGTATGAAAGGAATGAGTTGGCTGTTTCTCATATTTAATTGAAATGTGATGTCTCGTATAAATCTTTATGAAATAACCTGTCATTCGTATAGGATTTCTTTATTACATTCAAAACGTCGTTAACTGAATCACAGTAACCTTATATTAAAAGAAAGTCGTGTTAGTTACACTACTTATACCTCAAGAACGGCTACATCGATTTGGATGACAATCGGTGGGGAGGTAGATTAGAACCAGGAGACGGACATAGGATAGTTTTTCATCGAATTTTTTGAAAATCAGGAACGGGAACTGGAAAGAACGGTTGCGCGTACGAAGTCGCGGGCTGAAGCTAGTATTATATATAAATGTGAAAGTTTCTTTGTTTGGATGTTTTGTCCGACAATCACGCTGAAACTACTGAACGGATTTTGATAAAATTTGGTATACAGGCAGGGTATGGGATGACTTAGGTGATTCCGATTAGGTAAATGCCCCCATGAGATAAGTCGATACCGCGTTTGTCGAATGTGACAGTCTAGCAAAGGGTTACGGGTTTTTTCTAGGGTCGGGTAAAGTATTTGTCATTATAGAGCACATTATTGATTCTTTAAATCTAGCTCAGACTTTTGTTGCGCAGACGATCATACATAAGAGGGCACGTGTCATCTAAATCGGAATGCTGACATGATAATAATAATAATAAAATAAGTACTCGATATTATTTCACTAAAGCAGATTTGTTTGTTAGACTTTCAACCTTATTCTTTTGTTATAAAGTCGAATATTCATTGAATGAAGATGACAGTTTGGAGTTTTGATATGCTGGCCAATCTACTATGTTACCGACACGTGTATGTATAGAAGTAGCGGTAGTGCGATATAGTCTGAATCGTATTTGACTTGCAATTAATCACGTACTAATTATGTCATTGTATGATACTGTTTTTATTATGCGTCTGTATGTAATGGTACCTACTCAATATGAAAGCTGTAATAGCTGTTACATTTTGATAACTACGGTACTGATTCTCTGAATCTTTATTCATTTTTGAATAAAGATTCAGAGAATCTTTATTCATTTTTGAATAAAGATAACTACGTTAATTGAGTAGACGTAATGCGATTCCCGTGGTCCTAGATTCGATGGAATGGACATAAGAAAGTGCTATTGGTATTTTTTCGGTTTGTCGAAAGTTTTTATAACTACTGGTAGTAACGCGAAGTCTAAAATTATGCCTGTTAAATGGCAATAGGTTCACCCCTTATAACACAGGACTCGTAACATGACTATACTCGGAATTTTAATTCGATTCCAGATTTGACAATTTCAGTGTTGCAACGTTATGACAAGTACTAAATAGTGACGTTGCGAAATTATTCGATATGGAAATGCAATATTTCTGGATCGATTCTTCTCGTTTATAATTTTACTCTCGTAAACTAAGTATATCAGAAAATAAAATATTTATGAACCGATAATTTAGTTTTGACGATTAATTAACGATCTGAGACTTTTCTTTTATAATTGTGTGTGAAATAAATAAAAAAATGTAATCATGAAGGAACATGACAAATAAAACATATAGATGTATTATGGTAATAAGTTATTTTATAAATTGTCGCCGTCAGCGCTATCGCTATCCTGTCACTTTCTGTAACATTTATTATAAAACACACACCGATTGTTTATCGATTTTTGTGTGCATCACTACACTATTATATGTGGTATCATTATTTCACAAAATGACAGTAGCTATTGTCAAATCTGGAATCTAATTAAAATTCTGACTATAGTGACAATTGTTTTTTTATTCGTAGCTCTGTCTATCCAACAGTTTCGGGGAAACAAAAGCCGTGACCAAGTTTTTACTATTACTGACTAAAGATCATATTTAAAATAACAGCTTTAATTACAGCAATTCTCTGGACTGACCAAGGAGGAACTGCTGAAGTATGCGGATGATCCGTTCTGGGTGAACCTGCGATGGGCGATGTTCATCCTGTTCTGGGCGCTCTGGCTGGCCATGCTGGCTGGAGCCATCACCATCATCGTGAGGGCACCTAAGTGTGCTGCTCCCGAGCCCAAGACTTGGTATGTTGATATAAATAAATATACATAACTTGCCCCAAGTGTTGCAAGCGTTCATAGGACACGGTAACCACTTACCATCAGGTAGGCCGTGTGCTTTTCTTGCCACCGTCGTGGTATAAAAAAATTAAATTTCGTCTAGTTATGAAATAGTGAAAGTAGAAAGAAAAAATATTTGTCAGAATGTAGTTACAATATTATTATGTGTTTTATGTATAGTGTCGTGTATTTCCTCAATAAATAAGTTGATCACTATATATCTGTACCGTTGACCTATGTTGTAGAGGTATATCTAAGTACTACAAATAAATCAATGATATGTACTCTGTAAGCGACCGCGATCAGTGCTTGAATTATTAATCGAATATCGACATAATGCACCACTGTATTGCGGTTTATTCACATTTAACATGTACAAGGAAGTTTATAGAATCAATCGTATTATTGATTTTATTCAACTGCGATGCAGGAAATGACGATGGGAGCTCTTAGACATGAAAACTAATAAAGTTAATAAGATAAAATAAGAGTTTGCAGAGGTCATATTAATTTAAATAGCCACCTTTTTATGTTTTAACATAACATCACGCCTTTTATCCCCGACGGGGTAGACAGAGGTGCACATTATGCCACTGTACAATGTAACACCCACTTTTCACTATTTATGTTATGAGTCCCATGTAATAGGGGTTGAGCCTATGTTTTATACCCCATGTATATCAACCCAAAGATTAGAATTATCATATTGACTTCTATATTCAAATTAATTTATTGTTTGTTACATGTTGACAATAGATGTTGTATTATTATAATAGTAGCATAGTAACATACCTATAATGTGTACAATAGTTTATATAAGCAGATAGATCAAAATTTCAACAGCCTACGACAGTCATCTGATGGAGTAAAGACCTCTTCTACTTATTAGAGTTTCCTTTCTCTCAGAGGGACTGTGTGGAGCCATAATCTCCAGCTTGGTGGGTCGAGCTCGGTCGAAGATCGAGAAATCGAAAATATTTAACAATATTACATTCAACTAAAAATCGCGGGTTACTCATGGGAATTTACTGAGAAAAGCTCTACTAGTTTCGAACCACAGAGGGGTTCTTCCTCATGAGCAGCGTGCGCGGTCGCGGCGATGTCGCGTAGGGTTTTGACGTGACAACGTCTTATAAATTGGTTTGCCGGGTGACACTTCAAGAAACTGCGTTACGCTCCGCTCACGTTATGCGCTCACAATGAGAGCGAGTGAGAGGCACGCGTCCCTTCCACTCGGGCATGGTTAGCCCGCCTAAGAGCGAGAGAGACAGACATAAAAAGTGAATTATTTCATCCTTCTTCCTACTATGCGAATGAATATTCACATTAAAATTATTTTACCACTCAAAGTCGTTGTCACGTAAAACTTTCGCCCGTATACCGACTTTACAGGCAACCAATTTTTTTAGTTAATTTAGTATGTCTTACGATAGTTATTATAAAAATATTACTTTTCCCAGGTTCGAAAAAGGCCTCCTGGTAGACATGGAAGATGCTCCCTACGCTGAAATTGAAGATGATCTGCAGTTGCTGGAACACTTCAAGGTGCAAGGAGTATTCGTGGATGTACCTACTTATGACATCATAGATGAGAACCCCAGTGCGTTGGATAGCTTCAAGCGGTTTGTCAGCATGGCCAAGACTCATGGTATCAAGTGAGTGTGAATTTTTGTGATTTAGTCCTGTTTTTGTAGTGTTGAATGAGGAATTAGGACTTTGTTTTGTGAGGTTTTATGGTGAATGTTATATTGTATTGTAATGTTAGCTGTAATGACGAAATTCGTAAACACCTATGAAACTGAATTCTTGAGTAAGTGCACAAATCACCTAATGGTGATCAATCTGCTTATAAACTCCTTATCAGTAACTATTACTTAATAAAAGAAGCTGTAATTAAAAAGTAATCATCATCGAATGCCAATAAGAACGGGTTTTTATAATATTATATTTTATTGATATTTTTTGTTATCAATAATAATTTATGCATTAGTAACTCTTAGAAATAAGGAAAAAAGTTAATACAGTCAAAACCGCTTACAACGACATCGTTTATAACGACGAATCGAGTACAACGACGAAATTTTAAGGTCCAGTCTATTGTCTTATAAAGCATAAAGATATTGATTATAGCGACGGTTATTACGATCATAATTAATCGGTCCCTTCGATGTCGTTATAAACGGTTTTGACTGTATATACATCTTAAAATGCACTAAAACTAATAGAGAACATGAAATAAAAGATAACAAACATGACGATTTACAGAGAGCATAAGGGAATACTAAATCTAAATTATAGTCCTGATAATTCATACATCGTTGTTACAGAGTAATTGTTGATCTGATCCCCAACTACGTGCCACTATCTCACATGTGGTTCCGTATGAGTGAGAACAAGACTGAGGGCTACGACAACTACTTCGTGTGGAAGGAAGGCAAGGCCTTCGACGATGCTGGCAATAGGATCCCACCTAACAACTGGGTAAGTTCCATAATTTATGAATACTTCAAAAGTATGTGGTTTGAAGCTAAATATTAGCTTTATTTGAGTGTCGAAGTATTAGAATTTTGACCTCTGTTTAAGTTTGTGTGCTCTAATTTTATTTTATTGGTATTACACTTTTTAAAAAAAAAACTTTGCATATTTATATTTGCATATTATATTCACAGCACACCAACTTACATACACAAACACACAACTTCAGATACACTCACACTAAAGACATGAACACTCACACACTGTACATTCATTTTCACAATTGACAAACACATTCTCATCATCCATTCTCATATAATCCACTCTGGTTTGGTGTTGGTCTACCCTCAGACCACGGAATTTGTTTCTTTTTATTGCTTGTATTCTATTGCATTATAATTACCTACTATATTATTGTGACATCGGGTGTGAACCTGGAGATCTGTCATACAGGTCTTGAACCCAGTATAGACTCCAGCTCTCACAAAGGTTGAACCTATTGTAACTTAAATAGTGATATTATGTTTCTATGTATGTACCTTTTTGAGAGAAATAAATTCCTTTATTATTATTATTATTATTATGTATGTCTTTACCATTCACGGGACCACAGGGTCCCGGTCATTTGGGAGGCGTACGAGGGGCCGAAGCCAACTGCGCAGAGGCCCTTTAGACAACTTTAATCTAAATGTACTGGACACACAAACCGGTGACTATCCCTGTATGCACTATGGAAATGCACCCAAGGACAGTCCCCGGTTAGTGTAGGACTATTGTGAATAATGGAAAAAAAAAAAGGTAGGGCTATGGATGGGTTGCTGTGGACTGGTAAATTGGGAACTATGGATGACTATGGCACCTGCCGAAACAATGTAATTTTTACACGTTAAAATGGCAGGCGGAGACTCGCCAACTCACCAACCGGGCCCCGAGAATGGTTGCTAGATATAGCAACAGAGGGGCAACGAGAATGTGAGTGGCTGAAGGGTTAAGAAACTACCACCGCTTTCTACTCAGATCATCTGCTCCAGCCGAAGCCTCCTGCATCCCTGGCCCACTCGCGACTTACGAATAGTTTCTTACCCTCCGAGCAGGTTCACTGCTCTCGCGACTCCACTCTGGACGGCCAATGAAGGCAAGCCAGAGGTGGGAGACCTGTTCCTTGTCATCTTTCACTCCAGCCAGCCAATTAAGGCAAGCCGGAGATGAAGGAACGGTGACTTCTCCCTGGAGCACTCGGGATGATGGTAGCCCGCGGGATCGCTAATGCCCGTCACCTCGCCTCAAGGTGCCCTGCGGGCTTATTATTATTATTATTATGTATGTCTTTACCATTCACGGGACCACAGGGTCCCGGTCATTTGGGAGGCGTACGAGGGGCCGAAGCCAACTGCGCAGAGGCCCTTTAGACAACTTTAATCTAAATGTAATGGACACACAAACCGGCGACTATCCCTGTATGCACTATGGAAATGCACCCAAGGACAGTCCCCGGTTAGTGTAGGACTATTGTGAATAATGGAAAAAAAAAAGGTAGGGCTATGGATGGGTTGTTGTGGACTGGTAAATTGGGAACTATGGATGACTATGACACCTGCCGAAACAATGTAATTTTTACACGTAAAAATGGCAGGCGGAGACTCGCCAACTCACCGACCGGGCCCCGGGAATGGTTGCTAGATATAGCAACAGAGGGGCAACGAGAATGTGAGTGGCTGAAGGGTTAAGAAACTACCACCGCTTTCTACTCAGATCATCTGCTCCAGCCGAAGCCTCCTGCATCCCTGGCCCACTCGCGACTTACGAATAGTTTCTTACCCTCCGAGCAGGTTCACTGCTCTCGCGACTCCACTCTGGACGGCCAATGAAGGCAAGCCAGAGGTGGGAGACCTGTTCCTTGTCATCGTTCACTCCAGCCAGCCAATTAAGGCAAGCCGGAGAAGAAGGAACGGTGACTTCTCCCTGGAGCACTCGGGATGATGGTAGCCCGCGGGATCGCTAATGCCCGTCACCTCGCCTCAAGGTGCCCTGCGGGCTTATTTATTATTTAGGATTTTCTCTTGTATTGTGGGTGCTTACAAACATACAAGTTCATATAAACATGACACCCAGACACGGAACAACAATCTGTGGATCACACAAAGAATTGTTCCTTGCGGGAACCCGCGACACGTTGCGCGGCAGCAGGCAAAATTATACTATCTTCAGGAATTTAACCCAACCCAAAATCCCATTTATGTGGTTTGGACATTTCTTTGTTTTGAAAATGTACTTATAAAGGATGCACCTAACCTGCCCTTGTCTAATGTAAATTACTTACTTCGTATTACTTTGTCTACATCAAGAAACAAAACCTATACTCAAAATTATTTATTTATTTACAACTAGCTTTTACCCGCGGCTTCGCTCGCGTCACAAAAGGATAAAAAGTAGCCTATGTGACATATACCAATACATACAGCGCCATCTATACCAATACTTTTGTTTTCCCTCGGGACCATCAAATTTTTCTGGGATAAAATGTACAGACGTAAAGTTAGAAGTTCGTATTAAATTATAATTTAATCCGGACGTCTGTAAAAATTCAAAGCAATCGGATTAGTAGTTACGACATGAAAGCGGAACAAACAAACAAACTCACTTTCTGATTTATAATATTAGTAAGGACTAGTAAGGATTCTTGTTTACAATGGCGGACTTAATGCCTAGTGGCATTCTCTAACAGTCACCCTTTTTTTTTTTTTTTTAAGGGGGGAAAATCATCGAATGACTGCCCCCGCCTGGGTGAGGCGGGAGGGAGTGTCAGACTCTTACTGACTAAAAACCACCCCGTTCCTTCTCCTGCACGTCGAGCCGGAGCCCCGGTTACCCGTTAGGTTCTCCGCGACTTCGAATCGGCATCGGCCCTATTGGGCCCCATCTGTGGTCAGAGGCGTGCACAGAGATTTGAAGTAGGGTAGGCAGAAGGTATTACATAATTAAAAAAAATTGGTCTACATTAATCTCGGAAAATAAAACTCCCGAAACATCATAATTTTGAGTAGGTAATTGGGTTTAGTAAGTATTTTATTAATTTGTATAAACAAATTAGGTACATAATTATTTTCAAACTATCCGTGTATAAAGTTGATCAACCTAGGCATTTATTTTATAAATCTATTAACTAGGTACCTACTTTGGAGCGGCGAAGTACAAATGGTTACGCGACCATCAAGCTATGTAGCACCAGTATAAACTGACCGTTAAATGTATAGAAAAGTCGTACACAGCGAGATCAAGATGACTGGATTTTAAAAACAATAATGAAATTGGTACACCACCAGTGCTAACAAACTATACCTATAATCGCAAATCGTAGTTTATTAAAAGAAATAATAAAATTATTACCTTTTTTGAGTTACGCCTAGCCCGGACATACGACCCACGCAAAATCGCCTTTGGAAATATTTTCGTTTCTTCTTCGAACGACAATAAGGACAATGCACTCATATTGAATTTATTGAACAACACAAATCACCAGCACAGAGCTCACAGCTATAATTTTACATAATTTTCGGTAAATTAACAGTTCATTTAAATTATAATTCATTACATTACTATTTATTCACTTGCACATAAAAACATAACCAAAACAAAATGGCCAAAAAAAACGTAAACAATAAGTTGACCAAAATTAATATACCTATCTATTTTCAAACAAACGCTACGATTTGTTGACTTCCTAAATTAGTCGGATAACGAAGAAGCAGTGCTTTTGCAGTTGTATAGAAATTACCAACCTAACAAAAAAAAAATCCATCATCAGCACGAGAAAACAAGCAAAATGTACCGGCTAGCATTAGTACATGCTTCCGCCACCATCACACAATAGCGAGGTGGCAGCGCCACTGGCGCATTGCTCCAATATCGAAGAAAGTAGAAAGTGGTTGTAGTACTTCAATATTTTTTCGATAGATGGCGTTAGTTACCAGTTTTCCAAATTAAATATCAATAAAATTACGAAATCTCTGTATGATGTCAGTAAATATTCATGTCGTGTTTATGAGTGACACTATGTATTTGACTATGTAGGTTTGCCATGATTTTGTAGGGTATGCAGTGCTTATTTGCATGTATGGTGTGCACGCCACTGTCTGTGGTGGTCTGATGGCTCTTTGAGGCGCGCGCGGAACGCGACGCGCCGCACGCTCGGGTCTGTTTCTGGTCGGACGGGGAGCCACCCATGCTCGCCGTCCGCAGGCCCGCGCTTACGGTGGCCGGAGATCGTCCCGCGATCCCCGACGCCCGGTGTGTCCTTCGCGATGGCTGGGTTGCGAGGAGGCAGCGCTTCGCTGCCTCACGCGTCCCGCCTCCTCCTTAGCTAGCATGACTGCTTCGCAAAAGGAGGAGACGGCATCCCAATCCCCCTCGCTCCGCATCATGGCCTGCACTAGGCCCGGACGCGAGAGGTCGCCATCGCCGATCACTTCCCTGAGGACACGGCGGTGCTCAGCCCACGAAGGGCATTCTCCCACCGTGTGTTCCACCGTGTCCTCAGGGCGGTCCTCGCAGTGATGACACCCGGGCGTTTCCTCCCGCCCCATCAGACACAGGTACCTCCCGAAACTGCCATGTCCGGTGAGGACCTGCGTCAGGCGGTAGGTGAGGACGCCGTAGCGTCTCTCAAGCCACTCCTCAAAGAGGGGACTTACCGCTGCGATGGCAGCGAGCCCAGCCCTCGGTTGCGACAGCCGTTGCCGCCATTCCGCCATGAGATCGCGCCGGAGCTCATCCCGCCACGCACTTATCTGGCGCGGCAGCGGAGTTTCGCCCCGGCGACGTGCCTCCGCGCGCATGCTGTGCACGCGCGCGAGCACCTTCGCCTCCAGATCCCACGGCGGTAATCCGGCAAGGAGGTTCGCCGACTCCCCAGAGATCGTGCGGTATCCGCGGATCATTCGGATCGCCATGACCCTCTGTGCCATGAGCAGCGTCCGAGCGGGACGCCGCAACAGGTTAGGCGCCCAAACAGGGGCGCCGTAGAGGGCCATGGACCGCACGACCCCGGCGTATAACCTCCGGCAGGAGGCGTTTGGCCCCCCGAGGTTGGGGAGGATGCGTTTAAACGCAGCCCCCGTCCTCTCCAACTTTGGAGCCAAACGTCGGAAGTGTTCTATGAAGTTCCACCGACTGTCGAGGACGAGTCCTAGGTACTTCATCGTCGTCTCGACGCCGATGGTAACTCCTCCCGCCGTTATTTGGGACCCACCCGGAGGTGGCGCGTTCCCGCGGCCATGAAAACACATGGCCTCGGACTTGTGGAGCGCCACCTCGAGTCCCAACTGCCGGATTCTCTCAACGACTGTCGCAACCGCTGTCGCCATTAAGTCGGCCGCCGCCTGGTGTGACCTCCCGTGCGCCAGCACCAGCGTATCGTCGGCGTAACAGTCACCCTTAGGGTGATGCAGAGAGACACAATAGTAGGTGTAAAAGTGTGTAACACTGTTGTGAGTTTTGATCATACATTGACATGTAGATATATATAATTATACATATCATACAATATATCTGTTATATCACATAAATTATCTGTTATATCAATGTTTAAAATGCTTTAGGTATCAACTCTGAACGAGTCAGCGTGGACATGGAGCGACCAGCGCAACGCGTACTACCTGCACCAATATGACGCCTCACAGCCAGATCTGAACTTCAACAATGACGAGGTGGTCAAGGAGTTTGATAACATTTTAAAACAGTGGATGAAGGCTGGAGCTGCTGGAGTCAGGTGGGTAATTTTTTAAATGTGTTTTCTATAATTAAATTGTTAACTTTTAATTGGACCAGCAAGGATGGAAGTAGCTTTGTACTTTTCGAAATTTTTATCTTCAGTTATAATCGCTTGCCACCAGGCGAGATGGTGGCCAAACGTCACCCTATTCCTATACCGTGTCGCGGAGAACCTAACGGGTTACCGGGGCTCCGGCTCGACGTGCAGGATAAGGAACGGGGTGGTTTTTAGTCAGTAGAGTCTGACACTCCTTCCCGCTTCACACAGGCAGGAGCGGTCATTCCATGATTATCCCCCTTTAAAAAAAATACCTTTACCGCATAAAATAATAAATAAAGCATGGAGAATAAAATTTGAGTCCACTTTATGACTTGAACTTATCATAACATATATAATTGATAAAAACTCAGTGTTACATTTGTGTGTATTTCTGTTTATGTTTACCCCTTTCGGGAAATGAAAGTCGAAGACATTTGTTCTAACTAGCTACTTCCACGCGGTTTCACACGCTCTGATCAGCTCCTATTGGTCGTAGCGTGATATTTTATAGCCTATAACCATCCTCGATAAATGCGCTATCCAATACAAAAGAATTATTCAAATCAGACTTGTAGTTACGGAGATTAGCGCGTTCAAACAAACAAACAAAAAAACAAACTCTTTCGCTTTATATAATAATATAAGATATAAGATAAGACCAACAAACACTTATACTCGAGTGTATTTGCAGTATACCATACACCCAGACTTATCAAAATATTAGTGTCAGCACAATATAAAGAACATGGAAATTATGAAGCGAAAGAGGTATGAAGGAATCGTAGCGCAAGGATCGGCGTTCCATAGGCTCTGCCTACCCCCATGGGAGACAGACGTGAAGTTATCTTATCTATGTATGTAAATTAATCTGCTCTGACTGCCTCGTTGAAAAAGACTGCCTCGTTGGCCGAGTGGTCGCAAGTGCGACTGCTGGGCAAGGGGTCTCGGGTTCGATTCTTGGGTCGGGCAAAGTATTACTCGGTTTTAAAAAAATTCTCAGTAGTAGCACGGAGTCTGGAACTGTGCCCGGTATATGGCAATAGGCTCACACCTATTACATGGGACTCATAACATAAATAGTGAAAAGTGGGTATTACATTGTACAGTGGTATAATGTTCACCTCTGCCTACCCCTTCGAGGGTAAAAGGCGTGATGTTAAGATGACGATATGATGTAAATTAATCCGTTCTTCTATCTTCCAGGCTAAACAAAGTGCGTCAGTTACTAGTGAACGCAACGATGAAGGACGAGCAGCCGCTGACGGGGCGCGGCAGTGTGCTGGCCGCCGACCACACGTACCACTCGTACTGGCGACACTCGCACACTACGGACCAGCCCAGGATGATAGACCTGCTGGCGCGCTGGGCCAACATTGTTGATGAGGCTAGCGAGGCGCCTGGCACTGGTGAGTAGAGATTATACTCTTTTTCTATACGGTTCTAAGGACGTGTTGGATATTATAAAATACTAGCTAAGTCCGTTCGATTAAATCCGCTCTGCTTGGTTCCTTTCGATCGTATCGTGATGTTTAGCCCATAACCTTCCTCGATAAATGGCCTATCCAACACAAAAAGATTTTTTCAAATCCGTCCAGTAGTTCCTGAGATTAGCGCGTTGAAACAAACCAACGAACTTCAGCTTTATATTTAGTATAAGATTTCGTCATTGTAAGGAGCTGAGGCTTAATATTTATTTGCACTTAATGTTTTCTGTATAAGGGGCGATTCTTTATTGCCAACACCGGGTTATAATTGAATGAGATAATGTCGATTAACACTTCTTAAAATTGAACCGGGTATGTAGTTTTTTTTAGTCGTATCTACGACCGCTATTCAATTAACTTAGATTTGAGTAGTATAGACTGGGCTCCTTTAAAACATAAATGAATGATTTAGCAATAAAGCTACATAATAATTTCAGCATTTTTAAACAATATTATTCTTTTTAGGCTCTTCAGTATTCACCATAAACGAAGAAGGTGGTCGTGCAGAGCTATTCCTCTTAAACAAGAACATGACGTACCTTCGCCCGCTGGCGTCCCAGCCGCTGACAATAAACGAGGATGTCACCACCGCCGCCCTTGATATCAACAAGCGGCTCGGCAAATGGCCTGCTTTGAACGTAAGTAAAAGAAATTGTTTAAAGTGGTTTTGGAAGAGAAAAAAACCCATCAATTACCAATTATTCCAATTAACTGCCCAGCCCCCAATGGTTACCGGTGACTGCTCTACACTAATACCATTATAGACCTTATTTCCGATGTTTAAAGACTACTTTAGTATGAACAAATTTTGTGGATTGTCGGTACGATATACCAACATATTAATAACGATCTCATTCCAGATTCAGATAAATTTTTTTAGTTGTATGGAGTTTATGTCATAAACTAAACGGCGGTCAGGCCAAATATTTAACATACGTTATATGGTGCCGTTTTTTCCAACGCCAGATAAATGTTAACTGAGGAATAACTTTATATTTGACAATTCTTCCATACTGATAACTGTAAAATGCCAATTTTATTCCACAGTTAAGAATTAACTGATGATTGAAAAATCGGTCCTTAGGCCACCTAGATGTTTGAGATTATTTTAGATGACTTATTCATTTCAGCCGTTAATCGGCACTCGCACCTTGTATCCACAGCACTAATTTTTATAAATTTTTACATAGTTGAGGACATTCCCCGACGCACAACCAGAGCTGGTAGCTTTCGAGCTGCTGCTGCCAGCCTCTCCTATCCTCAACCCTCACCAGCTGGAGAAGGAGGACAATGAAACTACTACCGTAAGTTTTAATTAAATGGCAATTTTGGAATTCAGTAATGTTATGTGGTCACTCTGAGAAGCACCCAAGGACAAAATGTTTATACACAAACACACAGACCTATGAGTTTGTTTCGGCATTTCTTCTCAGAGTAGTCAGTTAGGAAATGTCGACCTCATCGTTCGCTTGATAAAATTGACGTGTAAAAGTTCTGCCTTGTAGCCTATTTGCAGAAATAAATTCTATTGTTTCACTATCGTTACACCTAGACAGAGGCAATGGAAAGCCAAATGACGCAATATAAATGAGAAATGTGTAGGAAATATTTTTTCTTTATGTCAAAGTTCTATAATTTATATTGGACGATACTGTAAGTATTTTCTAATTTACATGTGTTTGTATTTGCAGAGTGAGTCGTTGGCTCACTTCGTGTCGATGCGCGAGGACGCGAGCATCCAGCACGGGCAGCACGTGGTGGCGGGCGTGCCGGCCAGGAACTCCTCCACCAACACACTGCTCGCGGTGGCCAGGTATGTTCTATTCTAACTTAGATCTACAGCTTCATTGGTACTCAATTACATTCGGATAACATAACATACATAACATCACGCCTTTTATCCCCGAAGGGGTAGGCACACAGAATTAACACCCACTTTTCACTATTTATGTTATGAGTCCCATGTAATAGGGGGTGAGTCTATTGCCATATACCGGGCACATTTCCGGACTCCGTGCTACTACTGAGATTTTTTAAAATACTCAGTAATACTTTGCCCGACCCGGGAATCGAACCCGAGAATGTTGATTGCCCCTTGCCCGGCAGTCGCACTTGCGACCACTCGGCCAACGAGGCAATCAACATTCGGATACTGACATTACCCGTCAACCAACCAATGTTTTTTTATTTCCCAAATGCTAAGGTCATAAAGTTACTGTTTCACTCCAAGTAACCATCACTGCGTTGTCTAATTATCGCTTTAACCCGTGGTATGTCGGAACGTAGTTACACGCGAGCCACAATGTATTTTCTATTGTGCCTTATATACAAGTCAAGTCAAGTAGTTAATCAATTTCCTATCTTCTACAGGTGGAAGACCGGCCACACAGGTTACGTGGCGCTGTTCAACCCGACAGAGGACGAACAGCGCGCCAACCTGACTGCAGTGTCGTCTATACCAGACACTCTCACTCCCCACTTCATGTCACATGCTGTAAAGCATTACACAAAGTAAGTAACAAGAGAAACTGTCTAATTCCTTAATGGGACAAGCCCGCCACAACCTCCCAAAACCGCTGTAACTCCTGTAAGCCAGGATCTACAGTAGTTTGAAAATCTAGTAATTATTAACTATCTAATTTCTAGATGTAGTTGTTACGTTTATGTTTAGCATGTAATAAGGGTATTAAAGTGGGAAACGCGATAATATTAACGGATTGTTTCCATTCCCATTGTCATGGCCTTCTTTGACGGTTTTTAAAGCGCAAAAAATGTGATAATGGACATGATTTTACATACATATATCATTTCCATTTGTTTTCAAGTCAAATCACTTTAATGCATCTATAGTGTGTACAGTTGGTTTAAAATATTTGGCAAAATATGTTCCAACTGTTAGGCCCTTTTGGGTACCGCAAAAGTACTTCAAAGGTTAAGATAAGATTAACACACGAAAGCTACCTTAACAGAATTAACAATTTTTGTCTTGTTTCAGTTATTCTCTGCACAACGCAGAACCGGCGGACAACTTGTTGGTGCCGCCCAAATCCTCGGTGGTGTTCTCCTACGTGCCTCTGACATCGGCAGAGAATTAAACGTACAACAATGCAATAAAAGAAAATGTTCACCAAAATATTTATCACGCTTCCCCGGTGTAAAAGAGGGGCAATTAATTTTGCATTTATGTTTTTAAAAGACAGTAGCAAAATATAGAATTTGATGCATACCTATTTTGTCGTTTCATTCATTATAAATACCTACCGTCATAGTCTTAAAGGAGATATTTCGGCTCTATTAAAAATAATTTTCAAATTCTTTAGTAAAGGAGATTGACCATACTTTGCCATCCGCTTTGCCCCATACTGATATTTTGTCAAGGTTGTCACTTCGAGGTTTGTGGTCAAAGTAGCTGAGTATGTAGGATATTGGCGGCACCGGTAGTACATTATGGAGAACCTGGTTTTATTTTTAGATGGATGGCAACTTAGTTTTCTATGACATACTGTTGAACCACTTCTGTTTATTCTATTATATTTGTCCACTTAGGCCCCGGTATGTGCAGCATTTTTCGCCAGTGGCAAGTATTATTTCTGCCGGCTGAAGTAATTCTTTATTCACCTTATATTTAGGTCACCTTAGCCAACAACTGTGGGTTAAATGTTTTGCTGTTTTAAATCTAATTAAATGCCTATTAGTTACTACATAAATATTTACAACTTAAAATTAACTACAACTAAACTATTAAATAAAACGAATGAAAATAATATGGAGAAACACAAGGAGCACCTAAACGTAAGCATACAGCTAGGCGGAACGTTAGGGCATCCAACATAGTAGGTACCTACAAAAAGGGTGACGGGACTGCCTGAAGCCACAATCCTGATTCCCATTCTCCCACAGCCAATAAGCGAACTCGCTCTGCGGTATTAGAAGACGAATTGATTAAAGACTCACGAATAACACTGCTCAGCGGCACGTCTAACTGTCTCTGAGAAGATGGGTGAACAGGTAAATCCGTAAGTGGGCAAGCCATTTTCCAAGCTTTCACTGCATCAGTCAAATGCGGCACCTTAAAACTGGTCAGTGACGAAGTAAGAATTTTCTTGACTAATTCAGAGGTACTGTGGACCGATGACAGAAAAGCTGGTAAACTAATACTTGTAATATTGCGGGCGCCGAGCCCTCCCATGCGAATGGCGAGAGTAACTTGTTGCCAAGCTCGGTCATCCAAAGCCACACAATGTGAATTATTTATGAATTACAATTTTACTTCATAAAACCTTTCTTAATATTCTTTCCGAGATCTGGCTGATAGGGTGTGAGAATTAAAGGGACCACATGTTATGGGTCGTAATGTTTTCTACATTTATTTACAAATTCCGAGATTTTTCTGAAAGTGCCGACCAACGGTACCTACGACCAAAAAATGTTACGTATCGTTAGAACTACCCCTTTGAAGCAATAGTTAATACGACGTAAAAGTTGTAGGATCCAAGACAAAGAATTTATACTAGTTCAAATATTCATCAATTTCATACATTTATTGCTGTCTATAGGTGCCAGGAAACGTAAGATAATGATCGATATTGCTAGATAAAATAATCTGAGGCAATTGTGATGATAATGCGAAAAGCTTCGCAGCCTCTCGGCCTGTGGAAAGTAGGAAGAAGTGCCAGACCGTTACTGACTAAAAAGCACCTCGACTCAACTCCGGACGTCGTACCATCGTGTCGGAGCCTCGGTACATATACGAGCAAATAAATATTTTGATTTCATTTGATTTCATTTGATCTACCTCAACCTCGGACAGTTGTAGTCTCCTAATTAAGTATCATTTAATGTTACGATTTCATCTTCTGGACTGGTAAATGTATGTTCTAATACCGAACAAAACCAAACCCATAAACCATACGATAGTCATATTGTCTGACCAACGCCCTATTGTCCGATATAATCGGGAAGAGCCAGTCATCGAACTGTCAATATCAATAACCTATCTCAAACCAAAATCTAGGGATCAAGATCGATCTTTGACAGAAACTCCAATGAAATTAGCTGTAAGAAGTGATAGATCAGCTGGAATCTACTCATTTCAATGATATTATAAAGAAGATACGCTACGTTCATACTAAGCGGCGTCCAAAAATTGTTGCGTTCTTATTACAAATGTACTTAAATGTCATTTTCAACTACGTGCGACAGATAATACGGAAAGTATGGTACAGAAAGAGATAGCTATTATAAAATTACGACAATTGTCTGAATTCGTTCGCAACAATTTTTGCGTGCCAGTGCGATATCTACCTCTTTTTATTATTTATAATATCATTGACTCATTTAATATACTTTGTTTACACTGTGTGGTTTACACTCAATGTGGCAAGAGTGTACGTCAGAATGGCTGGTTGTCTGTGGCGTTGGTCTATAAGAGTTGATTCGTAAATTGCTACATACAATAATTGAATACGGCCTCGTATTGCACTTCACATTGTGTATTTACCATATTATGAGATATCCCCGTGGAAGAAGTTAGGGTGGCGATCGGACACGATCTTCTCGCAATACGTGGCCGTATTCAACATAGTTATATTGAGACAAAAACATAACATTACGCCTTTTATCCCCAATAGGTAGGCAGAGACGCCACTTAAGCGCAAACCACACCGCCAGCTAGCGGGCGGGCGAAGCGAACGAAGGAAACTATAAACTATAACGCGAAATATTGGCGAGCTAAACTATGGGGTTCACACTTCACACCGAAAACTACGGACAGACGAGAATTTAACAGTAATATCTTTTTTTTTAACATTTGTAGTTACATCATCAGAACTTTCGTCGATATAATAATATGACATACTTAGTCTACTCGAAACAGGGAGGACGGGCGAACCATAGTATAAAGAACACAGTAGGTTATCTAAGGCCGCCCGCCGAGTTATTAGCCTACTCTTGCGTTGATCCCCAGGGTTGTCACTTTTACTTTTAGTTAATATTTTCGAACAAGCAGCACTTGATCTAAATTTATGAAATGAAAAGCATATTATGATTGAATATTTTATCAATTTATAAATTTAGTAAAAATTAAAAGCTTATAAAAAGATTATTAACTTCTTAAAATAAACTTTAGCTCTATACATAGTATTCAGAAAGTAAATTTTGGAATACATTTATATGGAAAAATGCGACTCGGCTACGCTCTTAACAAATCAGATAAACTGTGAAATAAACAATACAATACCAAATTTTCTTATAATATTAAGTATAGTAGGTAATTACATTTCTGGTTGAGTAGGAACTATCAAGAATGATAAGAGTAAGAATAAGTAAGTAGGTATCTCATCATCAAGTACCTACAAATTATATTATGCTAGAAAAAGTGACTAGCTTACCTTTCCTGTTCAATAGGTACCTAATCTGAACAGAGACAGTTCTGGAATCGATTAATTATTAAGACACCCAAACACACAGCAATACGTTCTTCTACGATTATCAGACATTTTTTATTTCATTGAACAGTGCCGAAAAGCCGTGAAGCGCGCGCGAACCTCGTACAGTATCAGCCCTGCCTGGCGCACTGAGAAACGGGTCGAGATTTTGTTAAAGTGTGCGTGCGTCGACGCATAGATACTATGGCGCACACATATAAGCCGCGCGCGGAGCATTTGTATGAAGATAACCTACTTTGTTCTTTATACTATGGGCGAACGAACCGGGCGCGCCAACGAGGTGAACGAGTAGCTTCACTGGAATCGTCGGATATTTCGTAAGCTTAGCTCGTTAGGGTAGTCGGTAGCTCGCGGTGTGAACCGAAGTATGTAAAGAGGTGAAACTATGTTGGCCTGCGCTTTAATGCCACTGTACAATGTAACACCCACTTTTCACTATTTATTTTATGAATCCCATGTAATAGGGGGTGATCCTATTGCCATATACCGGGTACGTGTCTAGACTCCGTGCTGCTAGGCTGCTACTGAGACTAATACTTAGCAGTAGGTAATACTTAGCAGTATGGTGACGTGTAGCAAATGATAGAAACAAGTGGAAATCCTTAGATTCAAATAGAGTGGAAATCAAATCCTTTGTCGAAAGACAAGCTGTTGTAAGAGGAGAGAAACTGATTGCTGAGAGAATGTTAGAGTAGTTTTTAAGTTTGTTTTATTTTTTAACTCTGTTACAACTTTGGTTACAACTGTAATTTTTGTTAACTGTAACTACAGCAATAAAGGCTTATTTTATATTTTTTATTTTAATACTTAGCCGGCTGGCTTAGTAGGAGTTGGAACGAAGTACTTTTTAGTCAGTAATGATCTGGCACTAACTCCTACTTCCCCCAGGACGAGGGGAGTCATTCTAACAAAATAAAACGACTGCTTTTCGCATTATCATCACAATTGCCTCAAGATTTAATTTTCTAGCAATATCGATCATTTTTTTGCGTTTCCTAGCACTTGTACAAAGCAATAAATGTATGAAAATGGTGAATCTTCGAACTTAGTAACTTCATCTTGGACCCTACAACTGTTATGCCATATTAACTTATGGCTAGTTTTAACAATACGTACTATTTCTTTTTGATGGATGGCACTTTCAGACAAGGCCCAAAGAGATGATCTCCTTTATTTAATTTTTAGCATTGTATGTTCAATCTACGTACATTTAATACGTACGTACGAATTTCAATATTGGTGAAGTGATATTAATTAGAAAGAGAAGAGGGTTGGTGTTATATGACATTTGATAGAAGGTGGAAAAGAAAATTGTGTATGGAAGAGATTGGGAAGGGGGGATAAGGCCAGGAAGCACAAAAATAATACGCAACATTTTACAAAATAATAAAGTACATTTTAATATTCCAATAACATCTGCATTGTTAACAGTTTAAAAAGCATAGTTTTTGTACAAACATCAATTGACTTTATAAATCTTTCCTTGTAATTACAACTTGTTTATTATCTAAGGTAAGGTCCCGACAGTCGAATATGGCAATGTACCAAGTACAATATTGGTCTTCAAGTACAAAATGACAATTTGTGTTAACCTCACTTATAGTCCGTCTTAGATCCACTTAAATATTACATAAATTGAATCAATAATATATGAAAAATATTTTTCTTACAACGTCAGAATAAATGAGGCATTATAAGAAAATTAATGAAATGAATAACTGCAGAGTATCCTAGGTAAGTCTTAAGTCATGATAACTAGTTGGATTAGTACTGAACTAAGAGTGGTGTTAAAATAACGGGCATCGCAAGAGTTTGAAAGCAAGGAACTCGTAGTTTCCTACATCATGTCAGGTACGTCTGTACCACACTTGTCGGCTACGGGGAACAGAACAAACGCGGTCGTGCACATAACAAATGGACGCCCAGAGCAGATAGTAGATCATAGACGCTAAACACATACGCAGTAGGAAGTCTGGTAGAGAGTACGAATTCCTATCATATTTTAAATTAATGTCATATTCACCTGTATAAGGAGGCTCCAGCTCCATCTCAGTATCCATTATTCGCGTTAGGACTTATAATATCATAGAACGTCTTCACGAGGTAAAACAGTGTGCAAGTGAAGACTATCTGCATCAAGGCGTCAACCAACCGATTTGAAGAGACGTCCTTACTGCAGTCGATGTCGTTGTCTAACATAATGTGGATGTAGGGACGACGTATCAGAGAGCGGGATCTCATCAACGACTAATTTGCTTTACTCCTAAAATAAAGTATGTAGGTACAGCCAAAGATCACACCTTAGTGACGACGTAGGACGATACTCGAGTGGTGACGAGTTGAGTGAATCAGTCGGTAACGCTACATACAATAACTTGTATAAATAGTACCGACTGAATATTTTCAAACGTAACGGTTCTCCGTTCGGTTATTGTCGGGCCCACTCGGGTAAGTCCGTAGCAGTTCGTGTCAGGTCGCCAGTTGGTTACCGACGCTTGGCGGCGGGCTTGGGTTTGTTGAACTGGTAGTTGGCACACTTGGGGATGTGCCTCTCGGCCGCTTGTTGGTTGAAGCGTCGCCCGCAGTGTGGGCACGCCACGTAGTCAGGGTTCTCTGACGGAGGAGGTGGCGGAAGGTCGCTGAGTTTGCCTGGAATTGTAAAAAAATATTATAATACATCATCAGCCTAAAAACGTTAACGGTTCAGGGCTCCCTCTAAAGCCCTCTTTAGTGCAAACTCGCCGGTTTGCCGTAATCTATTCGTGGTAGGTGGCTCCGTGGGTTCAGTATCGCCATTTTTTTTAAGGGAGGAAAATCATCGTATGACTTCTCCTGCCTGTGTGAGGCGGGAGGGAGTGTCAGACTGTTACTGACTAACAAACACCCCGTCCTTTTCTTGCACTTCGACCCGGAGCCCCAGTAACCCGTTAGGTACTCCGCGACTCCGAATCGGCATCAGCCCTATTGGGCCCCATCCGTGGTGGTCTGATGGCTCTTTGAGACGCGAGAGAACGCGACGCGCTGTACGCTCGGGTCCAGTATCGCATTTATCAACATCACCAAAAAGAGAATACCATTGATCATCTGGGGTTGGCTGATCTGGCTGAGTTTTACTCTGTAGAATAACTTTTATCTAGCCACTAAGATCCTGTACTAAAGTTGGACTTACCGCCTGCACTGAGATGAGCCTGCACTTGTTTAGCAGCACGTATCGCCTGTATGAACTCCTCGTGCTTCTGTCGCCAGTTATTATTCAGGTTCTTGTTCACCTTCGTCGAGGACGCAGGGTTAGCTGGACCCTTGCGTAGCTTATTTATGAAGGGCTCAGCTTCAGTGCCCTGGAAATATAGGAACCAGTTAGGCTACGGTTCATAAAGGTCGATTCAAAATGTAGGGGATTTTCATTTTCGAAACCAGTAGGTACCTAATTAATAATAGGGATGCCGTGTATGACAGTAAGCTCAGGTAATGTAATCCTATGATTTCAGACCAGTCATCGTCAGATCACAGAATATAAAAGGCGTCATCTTTGGATGTTATGTAAACTATTTTGAAGGAGCTCAGAATGAGTGAGACATGAAGGCCACAGACACAGAGAACTTAGATCTAGATTTTGTAAAAGAGCAAAACAGATTTTGAGTCATGATTGATATTGAATAGTGAATAAGTAGGTATGGCAATGTAACCCCGAAATACAGGAGGTTACACTGGAAATGAAGAACTGAAGAATGAAATGAAGAAGAAGAAAGCACCAATGGGGCATTGAAGACATAAACGTATGAAGTATTCAAAATGTATGAAAAGTTGACCATGAAACAAATATATTTATCAAAGAGTAGCTTGCCTTATATCCCTCTGCTTCCGTCCCCTATTCGTAGGAGCAGCAGAACATTAGCATAAACCAACGGTTAGTTACAAAAATCAGTCATAGTTTGAAAAGAAGAGGAAGAAGGAAGAAAAACGTCACTTGGGAGTACCTAATAGATATCGGGGCGTCCAATAATATTATACGGTCACCGTACACTACAAAACATCACCAATGTGTTGCAGATCATGTACTAAGTTGACGCCTATTTAGATCCCCATACTAATTGTAGGGAAAACCCGCTGTATTAGATCATCAATGCAATTAAACAAAGATACAATGACTATAGGTCTTCTTTAGTCTTCTTCATAATCTTATTTCTGGTCAAATCCAAGCGGTCATCGGTGACCGCTCTCTACTTACACCATTATAGATAGACCTTATTTCCTGTGTATAGATTACTTTTGTATGAACAAAAATTGTTGAATTTTCATAAACGGACATAATAATGGCAAATCGAAGGCACAGTAACACAATACTTACAGCAAGTCTATGCTTGAGAGCGTCGAAAGGCTTTCGTTTCTTGGCGTGTGCTTTGCGACAGATCTCCTGGTGTTTCTCGATGCGGTCGGGGGCGAAGTGGCGGCCGCAGACCGTGCAGGCGGCGCCCGAGGCCGCGCCCGACAGCGCCGGCGCCGCCGCGCCGCGCCGCGCTGAGCTCGCCGCCGCTCCGCCTACACTGCCTGAACTCTGCAATGTATGGAAGAAACTTTATTAAAGCTATTGAAGGGCCCAACGAAATAATATGTTTAATAGTGTTTGTACTCCTATATAAATACGTTTTCTAGGGAAGACCTAGGACTCTAGGAGGTATGTTTTATTTAAGATGGTTTTTGGTGGTTTTTGAAGGGAAGTATTAACACAAGATTATAGATTCAGTAAGTACGAGTAACTATATCAAAATCAATGCATAGTGAATTAGTGATTAATCCATTGTTCGTACATTCATCCATTGCACCTAAACGTTGAATAATACAAAGTAAGGTAAAAGATAAAGATAAGAGGATTCTAATTCTAGCTAACTTAGTAGGTACCGAGTAAGTGTAAAGACAAAGGTTTTTAGTAAACAAAAACACCTACCAGTGGTTGTCTTCTGGTCACTACCTGGAAATAAATGAAAATAAAACAAAATCAACAAAAACTCGGCAAAAAATGTGCTGTGCATGAAAAACTGTGAAGAAAAAAAATGTAGACAGAATTGAGGACGGCTGTTGTATTTACTTTGAATTGATTAACAGAACACACATTGCATAATGAGGCATTTACAGAAGGTACATTATTATTTAGTTTTCACGTGGAAAACATGCACATAGTTAATGCTCCCGTTAATAGATGGCGCTACTAAAAATAAATTTCGCTGTCAGATTTGCTAAATGTCATACTTTGTCGTGTAGATCGTTGATGAAAAGAAAAGTGCATTAAATAAAATATTAGCGACATTCATTGCATATATAGGGATTTATTAAATGCTTTGCTTACCGGGTTAACAGTTCGCTGCATGGCCCCACGGGCCTTGTTGCTCTCCGGTACCTGAACACATCACACAGACAAGTTTGGTATTGGGAAGCGGCTCGTCGGACAGCTAACATTTAAACAATTTAAACACCAAAATATAATTATATTAACAAAAATTTACTCGGTCATATTGACAAACAAAATTTTGCAGACTGACGAAAAGTCAATAAATTCGAATTTAGAATGACGTCTATTTTTTCAAATGTCAAAACATTTTTTTTTAAAACTGCCAGTATCAATTGGTTTACTTTTTTCTCATTTTACCTCTTTGGTAAAAAAAAGATTTAATAGCACTTACAGCATTATCACTTGTAGTCCTTCGGGCTGGTGCTGCAGCTGGTGGTGACGGTTGAGGTTTCGTTTTGGCTGGACTGCTTCTTTGAGCAGGACTTCTAAAACGTAAACGACAAGAATTCGTGAAAATGGTGAAGGTCGTGTTGAATTTAAATATTTCATGAGACTGGCCAGTTAATTTGATGGCGTCGGTTCGACATAGGTAACCATGAGGTTTCGAGATGTCGCAAGTCGCATGTCAAGTAAACCCTGAAGGCTCGGATCGTACTACAGAATAATCGGTTTTTGAATTTAGACATTTTTAGTAATCGGCTTGGAGATTGAATTATACCATGGTTACAGAATAAAAGGACCAAGGTGCTTACTCATGAAACCAATATAATTTCAATCCAATATGATCTCAATAATTATTCAATGTCAAAACTATACAACCACAATCGTACCTGTTAAAATAGCATTCAGAGTACGGAATATAAAGAAAAACTCAATACCATTTAGTTCATTAAATATCCACGGAATACGGATGCAATGGGCACTAGTGTTGCGACTCAAGAGTACGAAATTTTACAATATCAATGTCAATCGATCGGAATTGGATTCAAGAGTAGCCACCATGGTATTTTTTTTGAGGGGAGAAAATCGTCCAATGGCTTTTCCCAGACCCTACATGATATATCTTAGCTAATGTACACTTATCCAAAGAAAATAAAAGGCATGATTATGGAAACAGTTTTTAGCTAGTAAAGTTACCTTCTAGGTGGAGGTTTCTTGGTAACAGCTGGTGGGTCAGGTGACCTTGGTGTGGGTGTTGGCGCGAGAGCCTCAGGGAACGTTTCGTTCTCCAAAAGGTAATTGTTGTCAGCTTTATCGAGCTCGTCCGTGTTCGGGAGTATCACCTCACCGTTACTTTGTGGCAGCTGAAAATTTTGGAAATGGTCGAGAAAAATTAGACATGTTTTAAACAAACTCCAGAACATAATGTTCGAGACCAGTTTTGTCGCTTCATTTTTTTTGTACAATTTAAATTGAAATAATAATTAGGTACTTACAATATGTTTGACGGAGTTCATGTCCGGTTCATGATTATGGTTAAGATCACCGGAGCCATTGACTATGTTTTCTGTTTTCTGAAAATAAATGATTGCACGGTGTTATTAAAACAAGGGATGTCTGGATAATTCCATGATCGATTTGGGTTTTTTTTTCTTAAAAACGTTGGCCCACACTAGGATTATCTCCTGTGTCGTGGGTGCGTTAACAAACATACAAGTTCACATACACATGACACCCAGACCCGAAACAACAATTTGTGGATCACACGAAGTGTTGTTCCGTGCGGGAATCGAACCCGCGACACGTTGCACGGCACCCGGTTGCCCAGCCACCGCACCAACCGTGCAGTCAAAGTCAGATTGAACCATCGTCGAATCGAAATACCTATTCAAAGCAGTTTCCTAAACATCAAAACGAGTATTAGGTATGACAAACACGGTTAAAGAATGGAATACAGCTGAAACACGACGCAACAAGGAAATTACCCCTTATATGTTGTCATTGTCCCTGTTTAAAGTGCGATAATGAGATAGAACACAAAACATTACTATGAACCATACATCAAGTTACGTGACAATATAATCATCATCATCATCATCATCAGCTGGGAGACGTCCACTGCTGAACAAAGGCATCTCCCTTAGTCCCCCATGTCTAACGACAACTCCCCTTCTGTATCCATAGGCTCTCGCGACTCTGACGATGTCGTCGGTCCAACTTGTGAGAGGACATCATTATGACACTATTGTATGGTAGACATTTAGCCAATTGTAATAATAATATAGCCTTACTTATTACTTATTACAGGGAACGCGATCCTCCTGTTCCTTGAGGGTCTCAGGCTGATTGCGAAATACCGACTCACGAGATGTAAGGCATTACAAGCACCTTTATAATTATTCTATTATAATAATAATTATCCAATATATAATAATAATTATTCTATTCTAAAGTTATAATTATTCTATTATCTGTCGTTTCGTGATCTTTTGCAGATCTTTTTGCCAATCGGCAAAGGCCTCTTCTAACCTTTTCCACTCTGTCCTTATTTGTAACGTACCAAACACATATACAATGAAATCGTTCTGAAGATTCTTAAACCCCTTGAAATTCATTCCCTAAATTTGTTCTAAAGTAGTCTCTAAATGTTGGAAATAAGGTCTATAATGTAGTTAGTGAAGGGCGGTCATCGGTGACCACTTGGGGATGTATAGGTAAAGTCTAGACTAAGAAAGTGACTTACATGCACCTGTTGCCGTTTCACGCTGTGTGAGTTGATAGTATGTGTCTTGTTGACTTTCCTCTCGACAGTGACCTTCGAGGTGGCCACCTTGTTGTATCCATTGGGCAGTGGTTTCCTGGCTGCCGGCCTGTCTGTGTTGTGTATAGGCTGTAGAGGATAACTCTTGTCGATACCAGCTTTCGTTCTGCGCTCCTCAAACATCTGTCGTACCTGGAGTGAAATAAGACCATATTAATTTAAAAAAAGGGTAAGTTCACCAGTTCTCGTCCATTTACGGAATGCTACCTTTTAAAAATAAGAAAAGTACTACCATATTAATAGTAGTTGATCCGTAAAATGAACGTGATCTGATAAATGGACGCGAACAGGTGAACTTTGGTGGGTGGACAAGAACAGGCGATTAACCCGATATAATGTTTATGCACTAAACTTTCGGGTAGTTGCCCAATCACAAAACTATTGCACATTTAAATATCAGACATTAGTGATTTTGAATATATTAACTAACTACATAGTAAAATTAATACCTAAATTGAAAATCCAATGGATCAATCAACATTCTTACAAAAATAATCTACCTATAGGTATTATTACCTAGTCCTGTCATTACGTCCCCTTACAATTTGTCAAGTAATTTCTTTACCGCGGCAATATTATAATGTTATACTCCACTTATTGAATATTAAATCGAGCCAAAGTATAAACATTGGTGAGAACGGCAATGAGTCCTACACCTGTTTCTTTAATGGACGTATTTTTCTATATAAATGCCCGCGTCACTTTCCCGACGACCCGACTCATGGTGTCAAATGACGCACTTTGTCAGACAAACATGTTTCGGTTTACTTTCATAGCAAATTTTAGAGTATTTTTTTGCTTTGAAGACTAACACGCAATTTTACCAAATGGCTAATAAGGGGTTATTAATTACAATGATGGGAGATCCAGCACTTTAAGAACGTTTGCGCATTATGATTACTTATACATATATTACAAACTTATAAATCCATTTCGTCCTCATGATCAAACCAATTCCTCAGATCATGGACATTTATGCGCAATTATCAAGTTCAAAATAGTTGAAAACAATTTCTAAAAAGTTTAAGCGAGCACTAAGACTTGGTATTAGGTTTCCACACAAACTTTAAATCTCTTTCTGTCTTTCTATGATAATAAGACATTCAATACATTTATTCAATTCTATCATATTGTAAACTTGCTAGGTTAATCCTACCTTTCCTGGTTGATGTGTAGCTGGTGGCAGTGGCGGTGAGGTGTGCCCCACGTTACTGGGCGAGTGTCGAACCCTGTCCAGAGCCCTCGCCTGCTGCGCCTCGTATAAAGACGCTATCTTCATCTCCCTCTCCTGCATTTGTTTCTGTTGAAACCGAGCCTGAGGGACAAGCAAATTACTTTCATTAGTTTCAAATAAAAATAAGGTCGCGCGATGACTGAATCGTAAAATTTGAAAAGTAAATAACCCGTCTTTAATTACCGTATTTATAGACACAATTAAAGAACAATAGGTTGCGGTCACCGGTGACCGCTTGGTGTTTGACAGTTTAACTCGTCGAGTACCGGTTTTATAGACACAATTAAAGAACAATAGGTTGCGGTCACCGGTGACCGCTCGGTGTTTGACAGTTTAATACGTTAGTTCATGTCACATTCGAATTTCCACTACAAATCCTGAATTACACAAAAAAGGTGACAGATAGGGGGCACCTAGTAAAATAGAAAATATGCTTAAATGTAAAAATTGTTAATTAAAAAAGTTGATTTAGAACTACAAACAAAATGAGAGCCCTGAATAAATTTTTCGCTATAACAAAGAAAGATCTCAAAGACAAGGCGATCTTCCCAACAAAATGAGTGCAATTTAAATAACACGAATATGCTTCAATGTGGTTAGTCATCATTTCATTTAACTCGTCGAGTACCGGTTTTATAGACACAATTAAAGAACAATAGGTCGCGGTCACCGGTGACCGCTTGGTGTTTGACAGTTTAAATTGCCAACATTGCTATGACATAAACAATTCCTAGATAGTGTTCCACCTGTGAATACTGCAAGTATGTATAATTCCAAAACGGTGTATTTGAATGACATTCACGTCTTGGATAGGATTACTCATCGCTAGGTTCTCACAGTATCGCGATAGTTACGGAGCGGCGGAGTGGGGGCGTGAGGTCGGCGCCTACGCATCACTGCGCGCAACCTGCCGGCTGTCGACTGTCAATCGACGTTACAATGACATTACTTGCGGGAACCCACTTCCGTAATACGGTAGACATTTTGTTTAACTCGTCGAGTACCGGTTTTATAGACACAATTAAAGAACAATAGGTTGCGGTCACCGGTGACCGCTTGGTGTTTGACAGTTTAAGGAAGTTTTTGAGACTTCAATTGTATTACTTTGTTAACCTTAGCCTTTGTGTATTATTCTGTTAACCGTTAACTATTTCAGTTCTTAGTCTACTTTTTACTATAGTGATAATCTAGCGATTGTAGCCTAGCTCCTCTAATTAATAATATGGATTGATTTGAGCCCCTCTATCTCTTTCTACATCTCTACATCATTGTAAATGAACTTTAAATAAAAATTATATGCTGTTTCATTTACGCATACCTACATATCTCTTCAAATCGAAACATTGTTACATCTTACATTACTCTTGAAGAAGAGTATCTAGTACCCAAGAGTTAGTTACTAAAGAGATACTAATTAAAATAATAATAAAGTCCTATTTTTACTGACTTGACACACATTCTCTTTGTCTTATGATCAAGAACGTCCTTACTTCATTATTTACTTATTTTCTATACGCGTCTTTGTTCGTTTATTAATAGTTATGTCAACGAGATGTGTTATTCAGAAGCATAATGTGCTTGTGTGCATTGTCTTCTCTGCATTATCTCTAGGTGCATTACATTCTTCTTGTAACAAGATAAGACAGTGATAGACGTGGATGGCATATCTTCGGCCTTATTATGTTTCTTTGCGAGTAGATTGGATCATCTACCACGTGTTTTTTGGTAGTAATCAATATAAAAATGGATATTCACATATTTTAAAGATCGATTGATAATTCAGAAGATTGAGTTTAACTATAATTTTGTCATTTGACTGATTATTTTGAAAAGGACGTACAGTGATAATTATAGCGCTGTAATAAAATTGCTTCGAGAATATTTTTGAAGTTGGTAGGTCAGACACATTAGACAAAATATCAAATAATCACAAAAAGTAGGTTCATATACGTAAATTGACCTTTATAATGAGATCCTAGCACGAAAGCATTACATACGTTCATATTTTATCCTAATGAGTATAATATTGTCCAATGGCTGTTTCAAAAGAAGTTATCCATGTTGTTTCGACCAATATTAGATATGGGAGCAATTCTCTTACTATTTAAAGGACTGAGCAAGTTTTATCGGATTCCATTAGCAGATTATCGTAATTTAGTCAGTTGAGGATTTTAAATTCCCTTAATGATGGAAGGTTGACGACTTTAATTTTTCATAGATTCAGTTCAAAGTCAAAGTCAAAAGTCAAAATCATTTATTTAAATTAGACCAGGAAGGCACTTTTGAACATCAATAACAAAAATTTAGAAGTGAAGCTAGTTGCTCATTCCAAGGTGTAGGTTCCTATGGAAAAGAACGAGCTAGACACTACATAGGTTACTCTTTTTCAATCGGGTTTACATAGTTTTGTTTTTGTTCGATTGTGTGAGAACAATGCAACACCTAAATGCAGTTAAAGAGATTGAAAAAGAAGTTGGGAGGACGAAGAAAGGACGAAGAAGGACATAGGCTATTCATGCAGGCAAGGCCGCGGGTAAAAGCTGGTGAGTTATGATATAAACTAAATAGGTAAAGCCAGTAAGTTAGTAATACTATTATGCGACGGTAACTACACCCTGTTATAGCGTAGGCAACGCAAATCGTACGCTAAGTATAAGTACTGAATAGTAATGACTAGCCAGGTCATTAGACAGGCCTTACATTAACTAATCAGCTGCTAACTGATTGGCTGGCTATGTACCAGTGCTAGTAGCCGACACAGTTGCATTGATTAGGTATTAAGGTATGTCAGGGTTTTATGTGGATGCTGTTGTGTGTCTTCGTGAGATTCTTTCTCACTTATTCATGTTCGAACTTACATTAAAGGAAGATTGCATATAAGGTTAAGTTGCTAGGGTTAGAGAATTGAGACATCAATTCAAGAAAGGGAAAGGGAAAAGGAAAAAGGAAAGGTAATTTTTTACCTGGGAATGGATATATTAGGAATGTTTTGACCTAAACTAGCATTTTCCCTAAGACAACCTATCAGGCTATCAATAAATCTTTTCTAAACTACGTTTAAAAAAAGTGACTTCAACGCCCTATTTTTTTGAAGTCGGTTAATTGATTTCCTAAAACTTTTTCATAAGTGTAATAAACACTTTTCTGAAAAAAACCATACACATACAGGTCAAAATGAGAACTTCCTTTCTTTTTTAAATTCGGTTAAATATATTTTGGTATTTAACGTCAACGTCAACTGCCGCATACATTCTTGAAGGCAAATACACCATTACTGCCGATTAAGGTATTAATAGAAAGGTAAGTTCTTCAGCACCCACTATCTTACTTAACTTCCCTACATTGAAACATCACGATATCAAAGCAGTAGGGAAGAACAAATATCAAAATGAGTTCCTAGATATAACAGCGAGAAAGTCACCGCCATTAAAATTCACGAATGGTGCCGCATTCGCCAATGTGTACGCAACATTATGGGTACGTAATGTGCATGCACGAATAATGCACGATGCACGTTTACCGTGTAATGTTTGTGTGTATGCATGCATCGTGAATATTCCGTGCGATCGTGACCGATATTGTGTATGACTGTACTTTTTACGACTTCGGCTTGGCAATATTTTGGTTTGAATTGCTCGGTGTTTTGGGTTTTAAGAGGATTTGGAATGCTTTGCTTCTTGTAACGTTTTTGTTTGGTTCAGATAGATGTATCTTCTAAGTTTTGTGACTGTAAAGCAGAATACATTTATTGTCATCACTCCTACTCCTTCTATGGATGTCGTAATAACCGATTAAGAGCCACAGTTTACAGTGTAACGACGCGGCGTTTCTAATATGGCGGGTGCTCATTGAGCCCAGTTTTTTGCTGAGTTGGCAACCCATTCGGATTGGACATGTCCGCCAACACCGCGTAGTATGTTGCACCTGTTATTATCAGCTTGTTTTAGTTTTATAATTTAGCTTATTATCTTTTTTTTCTTTCTCTCTCTCTCTGTTTTTAAATCTTTTTATTGTTATTTGTTATAATGTTTTTTTTTTATTCATGGCGTGCATGTCTTATACCGAATATACATATTTCATTCATAATAAGTAAGCCGTCAGAGTCCGCAATTAGTGATTCCACTTCACTACCGAGGACTTCGAAATAGAAAAAGTATTTTTGCTACAAGTGGATCGAACTAATTCGGCAGTCACGTTTACGAATAAACCGATAATCTCAATTAAGTTAGTAGCAAGTAATTACGGAGATTACGGTATTGATAATGTGGTTAAATATACCTCACGACTTCTTTAATAGGCAATCTACAGAAAAGGTTGATAAATTCTATAAGGTGTTTCATATTGATAAAGCCTTTATTGAAAACAAGATAGTTAGACAAATCATTGCTATTCCATTTAAAGTGACGTCAACTTTAAAACAGGCCTTGATAACTCACAGCTGGATTACGAACAGTTAGGCTAATCTGTAACTGTCAATTCGAACTTTCGAGGAGAGCTCGATCGCATTCTCGCCCGTCTTTGGTCGAGATTATTTTCACAACTAATGGCGAACTAACATAGTGGACCGCGATCGAGTTTACTTCTATCTTTCGAAAAGGGTGGTTTCCTAAATCTTATTTTAATGTCCGTCTGCTAAATTAATATTTTAAAACATTAGACACGTATTTTTTCTTATCTCATAAAATTCAATATTTCGACGATATACTAATTTGAAATATCGTGTGACGTCACTCTCCTAAACTCAAATCCATTTTGTTACTTTATATTGTAACTTTATATAAGAAAATAAAAAAAAATGCGTGCCCAATATTTTTTATTATCTAACCGACGGACTTATTACATTTTTAATTTTCATACCCTGGCAACTACCCTACTAAAAGTTACAGAAAAGCCTAGATGCCTCTATTATCCTCTACATAAGGATTATGCCCTAATCTTTACGCTTGGCAACCCAGCTGTGTGGTCTCTATCAAATATGTAGTCCTAGTCGGCTGTTACGACATCCGTGGGAATCTAGAAGAAGAATAAGGAACTCTAGCGTCATAACAAATCAACAATAAGTCACATTACGACCTTGTAAG